GTTATATAAAGAGAGAAAAAGTAAACCATGGAATTAGCTCAAGGCTGACCTCTCAGCAACCTTTAGCATTGAATTTCCTGGGTTTATTAGCATGTGTCATATGCTCAGTATCATTTCACTGTTTATTACTTTTATCCTCTTTTCTTGACAGAAAATTAAACACACTTAGACCAGGCCTTCGGTTTGGCATCTTTCCAATCTTGTTGGTAAATATTCAGAATAAAATGTAAATTGGCTTGTAGAGAAAATAGTTAGCTACCAAAAAAAAAAAAAAAAAGAGAACCTGGAAAAGCCTAGCAAGTAAGAAAAAGAAACAGGTCAGCTGTGTGAACAATCCATTTAGCAGAGCATTAGCGATATAAATGAACAAATTAAATACGTCAAAGTTAGAGTTACAAGAGAACATTTTCAAAAGTGCCTCAAGTGACTTAAGTGCTGATGCCCAAGTGACTGTCGATGAGATCTTAGAATTGTTATATTCAACATGGGCATATGAATCCTAAACCAAATTATCTTTATTGCACTGAAAAAGTAAGGGGTAGATAGATATTTTATGTAAAAAAAAAAAATGTAATCTCTTTCTTCTGCCTCAAAAGAATCAAATAGTGAAGTGTTGGGGCTCATGTAAATCTGCCTAGTCATTAAAAATACCAATAGCTGGGTATGTAGTGCTTGTGAGAACAGTTGACTGGTCTATCAGTTGGAAAGTTGGCAGATCTCTCGAAACATATTATAGACAAACATCTATTGAGAATTGTGGTTGTTAATATTGGTACTACTAGTAAAAGAAGAGGCTTAGGAGAGATGACTTGGAAGTTATATTTAGATTATTAAGATTTATATTCAGAATTTCTATGTTATGTTTCTTCTGGTTCTGTGGATAAGAACAGTGAGACCGTAGGGCTTGTGCATGTCTGTGTGTGGACAAGATGATGATTTCAAGTAGGGATGAAAAATTCCAGTTAATCAGTTAACTGGTTAACCATTCCGTTTAACCGATTAAGCAGGAAGACAGGGGGAGACTACTGTAGCCCAGCTACCAGCTTTGGCCCCACCCGGGGCTGCTGGCTGGCTTCTGATGCTTACCCGTTAACCGGTTACCTGTTCACATGCCTAACTTCAAGTAGAAGAAGTTACATTTATAAGGCAATGATGAACTGTTTGTGAAAGGGAAAGATGTCTCTTAATCAAAGTGGAACCAGATTGCTGTTACAGACAGTTGGATGACTACATTTTGCAAGGTTGATTGCCCAAACTGGAGTTGGAGGAAAGCTGACAGGTGCCAAGGGACATCGGTGTTTGTCAAAGACATCTAGTAGGGATGTCAAGAATATAACTGTATCTGTCTCTGGCATAGGCTAGGAGAGAAATTAAAAGTGCAGGAAGGACAGGTGTTGAGTACAGGGAATAAAACCTTGACATGTTAAGCATCTCTGAAATATGAGGGGGTCACAAACTCAACGGACACCTCTGTTACTGGCAATGAACTACCCAAAAAGGATAGCTAAGGTCCTAAGAGTGAGAGAATAACACCCCTATCAAAAAGATTCCCTGAGATCCTATGCTCTGTTCCTACGTTATAAAATAGTCGGTTTCTGTTTTCCTATGATATATGAACTGCAGTAACCTCAATAATACGGAGCAATGCCTAGCTGTATTGTAGTCCAGGTTGCAGCAATGTTTCTGTTTAATGCAAAGTTTGCATTAATCTTGGGTACAGGTGAATTTCCATTTAAAGTAGCAGAACAGTGAAGTGTTTAGTGCATTCTGTGGAATCTTGAGCACCAAATGGATCAGAAAAAAAGTAAGGGGCAATAAAACTTTTTTCATAGGTTTATCCACTCTGATATGTGGCTTCTCTGAAAGGCCAAGAAATTTGGCATGCTTTGAGGATTATCCTGCCTGGTATGTTGGCACACAATGTCTGTGAGTCAGTTCAGTGCTGTACCTGGCTCGGTCCCTGTTTATTTCCATAGCGTAGTTGAGAGAGTGTAATTCTAGAACAAATTACACATTCTGAGAGAGACTGTAATTTTCCCTAAAAGGATCTTACTATCACGTTGCTGCCATTATGGATTAAAGGGAAGAGCAATGGGGTATTATGATGATTTTATTCCTCTATGTGGTCCTGTTCTAAAGTGAAGCCTAATAGTAGTGATCTTATGCTGTTCTGAAACATTCTGCATATCGTCAGTGCATCCTAACTGAATCTAGGACACTCAAAGCTATGCACATTTAGATCTGTTTTGTGCCTGCTCTCATTAATGTCTATTAAATTTACTTGGAGGCTTTTTTATTATTTTATGGGATGATAAAAGTCTGTTTTTGTTAAAGTAGATATGTCCTGCAATCTTTGTATGCGATAAAGAATAAAATAAATGAATTGAGACATTTACGCACCATTGTTTCATGTCTGTGGTTTTTCCAATGAAAACCTTTTCTTTCAGTCACTGAGTCATAAAAGTGTTTTTTCCTCTGGTACTAAACTTCATGACTCACTGTATATATACAGTGAATCTGCAAGAGGAATTCACAGCTGCTTTGAAGAGTGTGTGGCAGAAGAGAAGACTAGAAGGAGCTAATGGCATTTTTGCAAAAGTATCTTACAGGTGAATGTTCAGTGAGGAAAATAAGTGAAAACTGGCTGTAAATGCAGTCTCGTGTGGTGGGGATAAATAATTGAGAACCTTATTTGTGATTTATATAATTTGGGATATCTGTGTACTAACTTTCTGGGCGTGATATGAAGACTAGTTGCCTTTATGACATCATAATCTTTCTGTTAGTCATGTGTTTCATGCACTGTTGTTCATGAACAACAACAACAACAACAACAAAAATCCCCGCGATCAGAGGCAACATGTTGCTGGGTTAGGGGCGGACAGATGGTGGTAATTTGTTGCTTGGCTTGTACTGAGCATGCTCACAAAGAGTGTGCATGTTCAGTAACAATTGCTGAAGCCTCTGCCTCCCAGTGCCCACCTGTGGTCGGCAAGTCTGGGTTGTCTGTGTTGAAGACTGTGTAGTTCAATGGTGGGCAACCTGAAGCCCATTGGCCACATATGACCCACTGGGGCTCCACCTGCGGTCCGCAGATCTCCTGTCTGCTCCCCTCTCCCACATGCCTCTCACGCTGGTGAACAAGATCCCCACATTTCCTACTCTTTTCCTTCCCTCCCAGCGCTTTAGATGCCGATCTGTGCTCCGTCCCGCTCTCCCCCCCCACCAGAACTTGAACAACTGTGTGGCATTTCAACTCTGTGAGGGAGGGGGAAGAGCAGGGATGGAGCACGAATCGGCAGATTTGCGCACTCCAAAAGTGCTGCGAGGAAGGGGGAGGAGTAGGAAAGGCAGGGGTCTGGTTCCCCAACACACAAGAGGTGTGTGGATGAGAGGGGCAAACAGGAGGTCTGCGGCTGTGCAGGTGGAACATGGACCGTGAGTTGCTGCAGCTGCTGAGGTGAAGGGAAGGCCATCCACGTGGCCCACTCGCTATTTTTGGTTCCCCATCGCTGATGGAGTTTATGCCAGAAAATCATCTTTAGATTATGTTCCTCTAGGGAATAAAACTTAAGAAATATCAGAAACCTGATTACCTTAATGCATTACATATATTAGAACTACAGGCAGTCCCCGACTTACGCGGATCCGACTTATGGCGGATCCGCACTTACGAACGGGGCTCTCTCGCCCCGGAAGTCGGGGCGAGAAAGCCCCGTTGGTAAGCTGCTCCGGTGCCCCTGGTCTGCTGGAGACGGTCTCCAGCAGACCAGGGGCACCGGAGCAGCTTACCAACGGGGCTTTCTCGCCCCGACTTCCGGGGCGAGAGAGCCCCGTTCATAAGTGCGGATCCGACATAAGTCGGATCCGCGTAAGTCAGGGACTGCCTGTAGTACAAAACTTTTTATCAGGGTTTTAACAATTAAATTCACATTTAGGCAAATGAAGTAACACCATGCAATAGCTTCATAAGAAAATTATGAATTACAGAAAGAACGCAAGAAACAAAGGTTTCATTCAAGAACTTCTTACTTTCCTCTCTTCCCCACAAATAAATTCAAGGATGGGAAGCAGACTTTGGACAATAAAGTTCTGTACTTCTCTTTATCTACTCTCAATTTTCTACAAATGTATTTATAAAGACCTACTTCTAGTTCAGTGCAATATATAAAAACTTATTGGTGTGACACTTCTGGTAAGTCAAATGAAGAGGAAATAGCATTGACATTTCTGTCATGGGTGTAGCCCTTGTTTGTAGTGAGAGGGATTAATATATAGTGGTGTAGAAGCCCAGAGTTCCATTTTTAATTATCTTTATGTGCTCAGTGACTGTGTATTGGTGGTCATGTGTTGTCCTCTTATCCTTAACTCCAGTGTTCATCTTGGAAGAGGGTTCCCTATTATTTACAGCCATCTTTCTTTCCTTTTCCTTTCCTTTTTTCTCTCTCCTGATTTTTGCTCTCAGCCTACTGGTCTTATATTTTCTCTCCTGCTTATTGCCATCTTGTATTTTGCCTGTCTACATTGCCCCTACAATACCATAGTATCTGAGTACCTTATATTCTTACCCCTGTGAGGTAGGACAGTGAGATTATCCTTGTTTTTACAGATAGGGAACAAACACAGAGAGAGATTAGGGGATTTGCTGAAGTTCCCAAAGGAAATCTGTGGTGGAGCACTCAAATCCAGATCTCCCAAGTCTTGGCTACTGCCTTACCACTGGATCTTTTCCCCTCTTTCACCATGTATGATTCTTTATCCTCTGAGAGAGTTAATTTGTTAAACTTTAACCACTATAACAGTTAAAACAACAATATTAACTTGTGTTCCTAGAATTACTATCATTTAAAGGGGAAGCCAGCAATGCTATAAAAAGATTCTGAAAGAAATGTGGGGTGTTTTTAAGGACAAGCAGGTGATACCCCAGTTTGTAAGTAAAATGGTAGAGTAATAGGAGCCAAATTATTGAAACTTTCAAAAGATCGTTGGTAAGAATGCATTACTAACCTTGAGCTGTCTTATGTAAGACAATTACAATATACCTTTCCTCCTAGTAAATCATTACCTCAACTTTTAAGGCTGCGCACAAGTCCAGATGCACAATTATTTGTAGCAGATATCCTGAGAAATTGCTTGCAACCAAAACTAATAGTGAGTACTATAAGCGAATTCTATTTTAAAATATAACTTGGAATGATAGGTTTGCTGTCATGAATACTTAATTGTGGCCTGCTCTAGTGTCTGTGGAAATAAATACAAATGTTTGTCAGCCTGAAAGGCATTGGGATTTGGTCTCGAAGCCTATGTCTACACAGCAGCATTATTTTGGAATAATTGACATTATTCCAAAATAACATAGTGCGGGTATACGCTACAAGCCTTTATTTCAAAATAATGTCAAGTTGGAGGACTTCTTACTCCAAATCATGGTAACCCTCATTTCAATCTCCAGAATTCAGTGAAAAGTAATCACTAAAAATTCTCTTCGTGATGCAAGGGCTGGACTAGATGACTTCTCAATGTTTCTTCTTCTTTGTTTTCATCATAATGAATGAGCAAAAGGGGGAAAATTTAAGGAAACGCTACTTATTTTGCATGTATATAATAGCTATAATTCTAAAATAAAATGATCTATTAAATAAAACTGGTCTATCTAGAATAGCAGACAAGTAAAAACATAAACTGTTTCAGTATTATAATTTGACAAGTTACATTTGAGAATTATGAACCTGAATGCAAATTTTCTAATTACATTTAACAGTCTTAAAATAATGAAATGGCTAAAAGATGCATGTTTTCTTTTCACTGGAATCCTAGAGTGTCTTTGCAGCTTTTTCAAATTACTTTGCTGTCTTGTCAGGGTGGCATTTCTGAGCTCTCTAAAGTTAGATATAAGGAAGTTAGGTTTGCTTATCTAAATATAACTCTCTTCTGCATATGAGTAGTGTCTCCTACTGCATGCTACTTCATGTACACTGTATACAGAATCCTGGAAGTCAATTATACAGAGACAGTGGAATTTTCAAAACCATTCCCTATTGGCCTAACATTGGCATCGGAATTGTCGTTATTAGGAGTCAGCTGAAGGGCACCTCTGAAAATTCTACTTTAAGTGCAGAGTGAATGAGGCAAGAAGTCCATTTCAGCAAAAACCCTACAAGTCTCTGGAAAACATTGTAAAATAGGAATTATACCTACTTTGCAGGGGAGCTGGAGGATTAATTCATTTGTATTTTGAAAACTGAAGACTGGATAGAAAATGCTCTAGAAATGTGAATTATTTTTGCTTGGGCTAACCACATTCGCGGGAACCCGGTTTGACATAAGACTTGGCTTGCTGCACTAACTTTGCTACAGTCTGCTCCTCTCAGTGTGTTTTGTGCATTACAGATATGTTGTAGCAGGATGGACTTAATAGGGAGAACAGTAGCCAAACATAAGGAGTGCTATAAATCATCTCTTCGATTAAATTGAACCCCTGGGTTACTGACATTAGAGCAAGAAAGGACATTCATATGAGAAAATTGTTAAATGTTTTCAGTCTAACTAGATAGTGCATGGCAATTTTAAGTCACAATTTTCAAGAGAAAATAGCAAATTTCAGAGGCTTCACAGACACCTTACGGTGGACTTATTTTTCATATGTGTGGGCCCTGAACTTTCTGAAAATAAGGCCATATTTTAAGGCATCTCAGTTTGAGCATGCAGAAACCGAGGCATGAAAAATCACTACTTATTTCTGAGAATTTTGACCTTAATTGGTAACATATTGGCTATTTCTGCTCTTCAAAGTAATAGAGTGGATTACTTACAGAACCTGCCTTCAGCTCATTCTGGAATCTTCCTTTCTTCCAATAAATATGCCTTGGCCATTAGATGAGAGACACTTGTGTAAGGATACCGCTACTGCTCTGCGGATGTATGCTTCATTACACTCTTCTCTAGTCCCGGATTTTACTAAATTGCAGTTGTTGCCATTTTGTGGTCAATCTAGGGACAACAGGAAATGATGAATCTGTGGAGGTTTAGACAAAAAAATACCATGCTGATCAATTTGTCTGTCTGTCTGTTCTGGCAAGTTATTTTTTAAAAAGTATTTTAAACATTGATTTAAAATGTAATCTGTAAATTGTGTACTGTATAGGGTACATTGCTATATTGCGCAGATTGTATTTATGTTCTCTATTTTCAGTCCCTCGGAGTTTGTTTGTGTAAAATATTTATATTGCGTGCGCGCACACACACACACGTACAGAGAGAGAGAGGAAAGCACTGTTCCCCCTTAAATTAGTTTAATTACAATAAAGGAGAAAATAAGTTAGTTCATTTCCTGCAGTGATGACTGTTTAAATCTGGGCTACTCAACATGCAGCCCATTTGTTTGCGGCTTGTGGTGTGGTTTGGGTTTATGTGAGGCTCAACGCGTGGCCCGGCCCACAGGTGGGAGCCAAAACAAAATCAGTCAATATCATGGTCTTCTGTTGATAGGGATTTTAGTAGTTCAATTCCTGGACTGTCACTGCTCATTAAAAGTGCTGTCACATGGGTGGAAACTGGGTACGGCAATCTCTGGCCAACAGGAGCTGTGATCCCGGTACCTGCAGAGGCACAGATAAATATGTCTGTGTGGGTGCCCACTGAGGGCTAACCCTGGCAGACCCGAATCAGCCCACGAACTGGTATTTGCCCACCCCGGCCTAGTGCAGGGGTGGGCAATAATTTTTGATGGGGCGCCACTCCCAAGATTTTGGAAAGTGGTTGAGGGCTGCACTCTTCCAGAATATTAATGGAGAAGGAGCAGGGTCTGGGAGGGAGGTTGGGTGCAGAAGGGAGCTTGGTGTAAGGGATTAGGGTGCAGGAGGGAGAATGGGGTCTGGGAGGGAGTTTGGGCAAAGGAGGTAGTTGTGACCTGGGGCAGGGAACTGGGGTGCAGGGTTTTGGCGTGTGACTTAGGGTAGAAGGGGATTGTGATCTTGGGCAGGAGATTGGGGTGTCAGATCTGGGAAGGGGTTTGAGTGAATGTGGAGTAGCGGGGCAGGAGTGTGGGGCACAGAGTTGGGGAAGGGAGGGACTGAAGTGCCAAAGGCAGGTTCTCACCAGGAGACTTGCCCGCCTGCAGAGCTAAAGGCTTTCAGAGCTTAAAATGTTTCTGCCTGCTCAGCCATGTGCTAGAGTGAGTGAGCAGGAGACAGCTCCCATTGGCCAGGGTCTGTCCAGAAACTGGCCAATGGGATTGTGCTGGGGGCAGGAGCAGCGTTTGAATCTTCGCCCCCCTCCCCTCTGAACTCAAAGAGAAAGTACCCAGCAGCCGGGTTTCTTAGCAAATGGGGCTGTGGGGCAAGCAGGGGAGCCTACCTGGGGCTCCCCACTGCCTCCACGGGCTGGATTTGGTGGCTTGACAGACTGGATCTGGCCTGTGGGCCATATTTTGCCCAGGCCTGGCCTAGTGCCTGCCCCCAAATGCCGACCGACACAAGGAGAGTAATTATCCAGGGGAGCTGCTCTTCTCCCCACTCGCCATCCCCATAGTGTGATCTGTGTTTCAGGTATCCATGCATGGCAGTAAAGCGACAACTTACGTAGGCATAAGACAGTTGCATAATTTGAAATAATGAATATAATCTCTGCAGTCAGAAAACTGGCGGAAGTTGGAATCTCTTTAATATAATACTTTTGCTTGTGCATACAGCTGTACTAACACAATGCAACATTTGAGTTAAGGCGTCTGTTAAAGTCCTGGCACCAAAGATAGTTTTCATACTGAGGCCTTTAATTGATAGATATTCAAAGTGATACTGTGTTTGGTTGCATCAATGTGCTGCTTGAACTAGGCTTTCAGCTGACCTTCAAAAGGAAATAATCTCAAAAGGAAGAATTTAAGTTTGCCAAGATCCAGATAAGGACATGGTAATTGGACAGCCCGTGGCTTTGTGGATTAGAATATAAAATACAATTTGTTTGATGGCGTAATGCAGTTGCACCAAGAAAATGGTAAACAAAATGTGTAAGGCTCATATGATGTGATTACAATCTGAAGATTTGAGTCTCTTTTAATTTACTCTGAAGAGCAAATCTGATTTGTAGAAATGTTCATTCTGATTAAAAAGAGGTTGAGAAATATGGCTAGCCTACATTTTCTTAAAGCTATGGAGCTTTTAATTTAACCGCCAGAAATAAGGTTCAGTGACTTTGAGTGCAGCTTTGTTGTTGAAATCATTATTAGCATTTTATTTATTTACTTTTAAAACCCTGGTATTTCCTCTTTATTGCTGTAACATTCTTGCTCTGATGTCATATGTGGTGGTTATTCCCAATGACCTACTAGATACATAAATAATACTTCCAAACAGTCAGCATATGTTCTTGTACTGACAACTGTAGACCATTTTAAAAAGACCCAGACAGGTGTAGATAATTGTAAGTAACAAAAATGGGATCTAGAGTAGGATTTTCAAAAGCACTCAATGTTGACTTCAGTGGGAGAAGAAATTGGTCAGTTCAGAGCTTTCCGATACCCAGTTTATGAGCTAGATCTGGGCTGCTTAATATATTTATTCTGTATCGTATTAGGTTCTGTGGAATTTGTGTTTGTTTTTTGAAAGTTTCTAACTCTCATAGGTCACTGCTATCTTGAATCTGCAGACAGTCTGAAACAAAGGCACTACAAGGGGGGGAGGGTGAACTCATCAGCTTGCTCATAAATTCCATTGGGGTGTTAACTCCAAGGTGAAGGCATGCCCTTTACTTGTTCTCATGTGCTATTTCATCTCTGGTCATCGTATAAAATGGGATTGGGACTTGGGTTGCAGTAATTGGTGCCTCCCATAGGGAAGGGAGGAGAGAAGCAGAGATTGAAAAGGAGAGCAATACAGGGCGAATATGAAAGTGTTCCTAAAATAAGTTTATTTTTCCAGCGAGGGATGCTAAATGGGACTTAATAAATAGCAACAGTGATAATTAAATGTTTAGTAACAACATACAGGACATACTTAGCCCTAAATATGTGCTTTGGGATCACTCTGGTGTTGGCTATTATTAGGCTAGGTTATATTGCTTTCTGGGCTGTCTAGACTCAGAAAAACACACAGGGCTTCGTTAACTTCTGTTCTTGTACGCAGTTTCTGGTGATGTCAGTGAGAGTTGAATGCACT